TCCCAGGTGTTTGGGTGCGTGGGCTCATCCCTACCGCGTGGCTCCGATTGTCCGCTACCCCAAACGCTCGGTTGTTTCGTGGCCAGCGCTCGCCAGGGCCTTTCGTTCCAGGCACTTTCCCCGGGGGCTTGCACGGCGCCGACGGGTCGGGGGGCCAGTTTGCCAAAACCGTTGTTTTTGAGGGAGTTATTTTCTCTGTTGTGCGCATGGTCCCTGGAAATGAGTTTGACTGGGATTGTGTTGTCCCAGGCGTAGTAGATTATGCAAACTGTCCCACGTGCAGAGCTTCCGGCGATTTTGGAGCGCGCGCGTCACGTTGACCCGACCCAAGGCTTGCACACGGTGACCGATCATGCTAATACTCTTGAGGCGTATGCGGGAGGCAGGGCTCACTCGCCCAAGCTGGCCAAGGGCGATCTCTGGTGGGAGCTGTGGGGCTTGCTCCAGTCTCGCTCTGCCCCCTTCCCCATGCCCCTTGTCGCATACTTGAGGATGCCCAGAAGCAGGGGAGGTTCGCTGACTCCGCTTCTTGAGACAATGTCATCCTGAATGCGCTTGCTGACAAGCTGGCCGGCGATCGCGCGGCCGAGGTCCAGGTTTCACCTGGCGTTGTGTGGGATCACGACGTTTTGGTTTCGCAGGCGCGCCAGCTTTTGAAGCGCCATGCCTTTATCATTCTTGAATGTGCGAATTTGCGTGCTGAAAGTGGCAGACGCCACCAGATGCAGCCTGTCGGCTATGCCCTCAGGCGTCGAAGGAGAGACTGCCGAGGCCATCTGTTCTTCCTCTCTCAGGTGGTCTTGCCATGACTACAGGTGGAGCTGCCAGTCTTGCGCCGCGCAGGCGCAGGCGGACGCTCCCTCCCTTCGCGCCAGGCCCCGCAGCGCGTGCACCGCCTCTCTCGTGGAAGGAAAGAGTTTGGATGCGGGGGGGGGGGCGCGGGTGCGCAGGCGGGGGATGAGGAATGTGTGCGGCACAAGTGGGTGCAGCCCTCTCGGCCTCTTCCAGATCGCAATGACTCCCTGTGGCGTGCCCCAGATATGGGCCCGTTCCCGTCCAGAGCGGGGTCTTGGGTCGCAGGGATTCAGGTTCGCTGTTCTCACGCTCTCTGGGTGAAGGCCTCTTTTTGCTTTTGCTCCGATTACGGGGCGTGGGCCAAGAATCGCCCAGACACCTTGAAGCTTAGGTGCCCAGTCGATGAGTTCGGCCCTCATGCACTCACCAGAGCTCGCCTTGCCGTTTTTGCAGGGGCTTGGCAGAGGCCCCCCGCCTTGCAAGAGGTTGTCGGGTTGGCCCTGCATGTAAATTTTCTGCCGTGGCCTCCAGTCCCAGGCAGTTCGACTGCCCTTGGAGCCTGCTCGTCAGCTGTGCACTGTAAAAAATCCTCCTCCTCCTCCTCCTCCTCCTCCTCCTCCTCCTCCTCCTCCTGGGTTCATCCGACATGGCACCCAGGGCATGGCGATGATGGGCGGGGACAGGAGGCTGGGGAGAGGGAGGGGAGAGGGAGGTGAGAGAGAGGGAGGAGGAAGACACGGATGGTGATGATGATGATGATGATGATGATGATGATGATGATGATGATGATGATGATGATGATGATGATGATGATGATGATGATGATGGTGATGGTGTTGATGCTGCTGGTGATGATGATGGTGCTGGTGATGATAACGGTGGTGATGATGCTGATGATTATGGTGGTGATTTTGGGTATGATTAAGATGATGATGCGGATGGTGATGACGATGATGCTGATGATGATGATGATGTTGTTGATTATGATACTGATGATGCTGGTGATGGTGCGGATGATTGAGATGATGGCGATGGCGACGACGACGACGAGGAGGAGCAGGAGGAGGAGGAGGCAAGAGGACGCGTATATAATGCACCCCCGAGGGACGCTATACCCGCATGTTATTCGGAGGAGGGGTGGGAGGGGGCGGAGTGGAAAGGTGGGCAGAAACGGAATTGTATATAATGCGCCCTCACGAGGGCGCTATACACGCATGCCCCTGGAGATGGCAAACTTCAAATATGCCCAACGCAAAAAAAAGTTTGGCGTGCACGTCGGCGTTCAACATAGCAACGTCTAGAGTGCACGCCCGTCCTCAGGCAAACAAAATGGGATCGGGAGGGAGGGCTGCGTATAGGGTGCACAGACGGTGAGTGGTATGTTGGTCCCCGGCTGGGGACCGTGCGCTCTAAATTCTGCGTTCTGCACGCGAGGCGTCGGGTGATCCCCGACGGGGCGAAATTCAGATTTTTTTGGAGGGGGGTCTCGTTGCGCCCCCGCCACCCTTCTTCCTGTCCACGCAGGTGCACCTGACAGCGTCTGGAGAGAATATGCCTCCTTCCTCCTCCCCTGCCTCCTGCCTCCTTCCTCCTCCCTGGCCCCCCTGGCGTGAAGTTCAAGATTTGTTTTTGGGTCTCGTTGCGCCCCCGCCCCCTTCCTCGTTTCCACGCATGTGCACCTGCCAGCGTCGCGAGAGAAGCTGCCGCTCCCCGGCCCCCCCAGCTCCGGCGTCCGACGTCGCGTCCCTATCCACTGCCGCTGGGCCCGGGATGTCTGGACTTCGCTGTCGGGGCCGACGCCTCGTCCCAGTGAGCGTGCTTTCGGCGGTCCTTCGGGCCGGGGCGGGGCCCTTTTGGCTGATGGGCTTGTTTTCCACCACCACCACCACCACCATGAGTTGGAGGGAGGAAGAAGGTGGACGAGGAGGAAAAGGAGGAGGAGGAGGAGCAGGAGGAGCAGGAGGAGCAGGAGGAGCAGGAGGAGCAGGAGGAAGGAGGTGGTGGTGGTGGTGGTGGTGGTGGTGGTGGTGGTGGTGGTGGTGGTGGTGGTGGTGGTGGTGGTGGTGGTGGTGGTGGTGGTGGTGGTGGTGGTGGAAAACAGGATCGCACGCCACTGAGGGAGAGAGAAAAGAGAAAAGAGAGAATGAGCGGGTCCCCGTCCGCGCGGCCGCCGATCGCTGGTGCGGGCGCCACTTGGGGGCTCACCCTCGCGCCACGCAGGGGGGAGCACGAGCCCCCCTGCAGGCCGCGGAGGGCCGACCCCCGAGCGCCTCCCCACCAGCTGCCGCCGACGCGCGGCCCCGCCCGCTCGTCCCACGCCGCGGCCGTCCGACGGCCGCCGCTACGCCTGCGCCTCTCGCGCACTCTTCTTGCGAAGCTGCGCGAGGAAGCCACGCTCGGGCTTGAGCAAGCTCCAGGCCTGCTCCTCCTTCTGCTTCTGCGCGATGTTGTGCTGAATCCAATCCTGCTCAGCCATCTGCGCCTGCCGTTGAGCTTGCTCTTTCCTCGCCCGCCTGCGCGCCGACTTGTTGGCGGGCGCCTGAGCGGGCTCAGAATGGCTAGGCTCCGTACCGTCAGCTGCAGGACGGACGAGGTCGGCGTGGAGCGTCTGCTTCTGGCTGGCCAGCCCGCCATCCTCGCTCTTGCCCTTGAAGAGCGCCACGCCGCCGTCGAACTGGATAGGGTCGATGGGCACGTCGACCTCGCATCCTTCGAGCTCGTCGCCAAGAGCCTCGGGCGTGTCGAAGTCCGTCTCAAAGAACACCTTGTCCTCCAGCTCCTGCTCGTGGCCGCCGATCTCCAGCACCTGCTCCTGGCCGCCGACGTTCGGCGGGATCTCCATGATCTCCGCGTCGTCGCAGCGCTCGGCAGGCACGAACTCGGCCGCGTTAGGGTGCAGCGGCGTGCTCATGCCCTGAAAGAAGCCCTCCAGCGCCGCAAGGGGATGCCCCTGCGGGAGGGCAGGCGGCCGCCCAGGCCCCCCAGGCGGGGGGGCGTGCCGCGCCATGTTACCGCCCTTGAGGTCGTCCTCCGCGGCCGCCAGGACCTGGCTGGCCACTCCAACCAGCCTCGCCGCCGCCACCTCCTCGCCGAAGGTCGGGAAGAAGACGCCCATGATGGTGTCGGCGAGCTCCCAGTGCGCTACGATGGACGCTCTCAGGGCCCGCATGCGGTGGCCGAGCGCCTGAGCTCGCGAGAAGCCCAGTTCGTGCCGCCGCTGCCTCCGGAGCCGCCACGCCAGCGTGCGCGCGCTGGCTGCAGCCCATGCCTTGCCGGACATCAGGCCTCTTGCGCGCGCCCGACGCGCCCGACGGGCGCGCAGCACGAGGGCCTCCCGCAGTGCCGCTCACTTGAGCCAAAATGGCCACGGATGGTGGAAAACAAAAGGCGACAAAAGAAGGAGGAGGAGGAGGAGGAGGAGGAGGAGGACCCCCTCCCCCTCCAACTTATGGTGGTGGTGGTGGAAAACAGGCCCATCACCTGGTGGCCACTGTGGCCAGAGCTCGTCAGTCGCGACTTGTTCGGCCATGCGTATAGGTCTGGTCTCGGGCGGCCGGTCGGGACGACTCGGACACCCGCGGGCGCCTCTCGACGAGGCGCGGCTGATGGAGCGGATCCCAAGTTTGTCTAGGCCTCCCAGATGGGGTCGGAGTGGATGGGGTCGGAGGATCGCGCCGCATCGCCGATGCATCGGGGATGCATCCGCGATGCGGCTCGATGTGGAGCCCGAGTTTCTCCACGCCCACGTCGCCGATGTATCGCCGACGTCGCCGATGCATCGCCAGTAGATCGCCGATGCATCGGCGATGCATCGGCGATGCGGCGCGATCCTCCCACCCCATCTACTCCGACCGACAGAGGACGACGACGTTCGAAAGGTTTGAAGGGCGAGTCAGTTTCGCTCCTCCTCGCTCTGGTGCTGGAAGAAGCTCGATCTCCGAGTCGATCTCCTCGATCCTCCTCCCTCGATCCTCGATCCTCCTCCCTCGATCCTCCCTCGATCTCCTCGATCGATCCGCCTCGATCCTCCCTCGATCCTCCCTCGATCTCCTCGATCCTCCTCCCTCGATCTCCTCGATCCTTCTCCCTCAATCCCCGATCCTCCGCCCGCGATCCTCGATCCCCGAGCCACCTGCCTGCCCCCGCCCCCCGCAGAGCCCCGTGCGCTCGCCCGCGCGCGCGGCGCGCGCGCCCTCCTCCTTAAGGACGCCCCGGAGCGAGAGCGCAGAGCCGGACCCGGAGTACGTGCTGGTTGCCATCTACCAGGAGGCCCCGTGTCCTTCCCCTTTCTCCTCCTCTTCCTTCTCCTCCTCCTCCTCCTCCTCTTCCTCCTCCTCCTCCCTCCTCCTCCTCCTCCTCCTCCTCCTCCTCCTCCCTCCTCCTCCTCCCTCCGGAGTACGTGCTGGTTGCCATCTACCAGGAGGCCCCGTGTCTCTGGGCTTAAGTCGGGCGTGTCCCCCTACAGGGGGAGCTTCGCCGAAAAATAAAAGATACCCCCAAAAATATTCAAAAAGGTCAAAACATATTCAAACAATCGTCCCCATACTATGTTTGGATTGTTTCTTGCTTTTTGTTGGGGATTGTTTTATAGTTCGTCGAGAATCCGTCTGTAGGGGGACAGGCCCGACTTAACTCTAGGCGTATGATGCTCCAACCTATTTTAGCTTTGGTCACCAGGAAAAATTTCGAGCGCCCAAAAGAGTACCGAAATTCAGCGGTTTTCACGTGCCGGGACCTGGGAGACACTCGCCCGACACTGTTTCGTCACTGTTACGACACTCTTTTGACACTTTTCGGGGTGCTCGAGATTATTTCTGGGATGTGGTCCTTGAATACGATGGGAGCAACATAACTCTAGGCCTCCCAGATGGGGTCGGAGGAGATGGGGTCGGAGGATCGCGCCGCATCGCCGATGCATCGGCGATGCGGTCACGTGTAGAGCCCGTGCTTCCCCACGCCGAAGTCGCCGATGCATCGCCGACGTCGCCGATGCATCGCCGATGTATCCGCGATGCGGCGCGATCTTCCCACCCCATCTACTCCGACCCCACCTAGGAGGCCTTTAGTGTCCCTTTCGATCGGCGTTGGTCAGACGGGGCTAGGACGTAGAAGTCTGTTCCAGTGCGTTTGGGAGAGCTCTCAGAGCGTTCTGGAACGCTCTGAGAGGGCCTTGTCGCCCGAGACATCCTCTCAGAGATTCTCGATGTGTTCTTGCCTGGTTTTATCCTCGACGTCCTTCCCCCTCGTTCTTCTGGACCTTCCGCCCAAACCCTTTCGCCCCTTGTTCGAAATGATCCATGTGGGTTTCCTTGAACTTTGTAAGGTGTTCGTGAGTTTCGATGAATTCTTCCACACATTCCGCGGGTGTCAAAAGGTATGGAAGATGGAGGTTGATCGGGGTTGGGGGTGGTCAGGGGCGGGGGGCTGGGGGCGGTCAGGTGTAACGACAGATTCGTGCCTCGGGGCCCCAACCAGAGTTTCCCCGGACCGCAGCCGATCTGAAGTCAGGCATTCGCTCAATTCAGATCGGCTGATTCTTGGGTGGCGTGCCTACCCCAACCCCGCCCTCCCTGCAGCCTTCTCCTGGAGGTCTGCAAACGCCCACTCTCAGGAAGAGCCAGCCCTCCTCCCCCTCTTCATCCTCCTCCTCCTCCTCCTCCTCCCTCCTCCCTCCTCCCTTCTCCCTCCACCTCCCTCCTCCCTCTCCCCCCTACCGCCTCCTCTTCCTCTCCCATATTCCCTCCCTCCTCCCTCCTCCCTCCTCCTCCCTCGTCCCTCCTCCCCCCCCTCCTCCTCCTCCTCCTCCTCCTCCTCCTCCTCCTCCTCCTCCTCCTCCTCCTCCTCCTCCTCCTCCTGGCACGGCGGACACGGTCTTTCCCGCAACGCATGCCACCCCCTGACCACCACGGCGACCTTCCGGAAGAAGATCAGCAGCGCGACGATGGTGTAGAGCAGCGGCACCACGCCCGGCAGCGGCGGCAGCCCGGCGGCGCCGGCCGGCCCGCTAGCCGGCGAGCTAGGCCGCCAGCGCGGCCCGGGCCGCGAGTTCGCGCTCCTGGCCGAGCGAGCTGCGCAGCTGCCGCGCGGTGGCACGGTGCAGCGCGCAGCTCAGCTCCGCGCCCCAGCGGCGGGCCAGGGCGCTCGCGGCCGCCTCGGCTTCCGGCCCGTCGCCCAGCGCCTGCGCTTGGTCCCGGGCGAGCCAGCGCAGGTGGCTCAGCGCCGCCTTGCCGAGCCGGCCGGCCGTCTCGTGGCCCAGACCTTCCGATCTACTAAAAAATTAGTGTTCCAGATAAATAATTTATCTTTTTATATTTTTATTATATTTCGTTTTCAAGTTCATATTCGCGCACTCCTAGCTTTACGTTTTTATATTTAAAAGATAAAAAGATAAACATATAAAAATATATAAATACAACATATATGTTATATCATATGTTTGAATTATATGATATGGACGTATAAGGTGCCGAGATTGGGGAAGCGCGTAATCGCCTGGCGGGCGCGCGTCAGAGCGCGTCCGTGCGGTCTTTCTCTTTGCTACGCTTCGCTCCTTCGTACTGCGCCGCTGCCTCTGAGGGGAGCAGGGAAGGGAGCGCAGGCAGGAGAGAAGGTGCGGAAGGAGGAGGAAACAAGGGAAGAGGAGGAGGAGGAGGAGGAGGAGGAGGAGGAGGAAGCGAAGGTGAGATGGGGGAGAGGAAGCGGAGGAGGGGAAGGTGAAGGCACGGCGTGCCAGGGGGGGCGGTCGGAGAAAAACCTAAAAGAGGGGATGGTAGACGGGGGGGGTCACAGTTTCTGGCGTTCGGGAATGTTTCTGTAATGATTATGTCGCTTCTCATCTGGCATGCACTTGGGGAGGGGCGGGGGGGGAGACGGGGGGATGTATGATATGCCGCAGTGTTGGCGCCAAGGCCCAAGCTTGCACGGTAGTGACTTCGAGCCTACCAGCAGATTGATGGCCACGCCGACGGCGGTGGCACAGGAGGGGCGAAGTTCAAACTCAATGGCGAAAGCCTTACGATCAAGAACTGGGGTGGGGGAAATGAGAATTATACTTTTCATATCCCCCACCCCAGTTTAAACAGGAAGAGGAAGAGGAGGAGGAGGAGGAGGAGGAGGAGGAGGAGGAGGGAGGGCGGTGGGCGAGGAGGAGGGGTCGGAGAAACGTTTGTGTGTTGGGGGAAGTGACATTCCAGTTTTTTTCTGTTTTCGGGAATGTTTCTGTAATGATTCGGTTTTCGGTAATGTTTCTGGAATGATTCTGTTTTCGGGAATGTTTCTGTAATGATTCTGTTTTCGGGAATGTTTCTGTAATGATTCTGTTTTCGGGGATGTGTCTGTTTTGATGTTGGGGGGGACATAGATTTTCGCCGAGTTTGGATTTCGAGGAGAGCGAGAGCGCGTCGCCGTGCGAGAGCCTGGAACCATTCAGCAAACGCCAGAGAGTGGAACCATCACAGCCAGGCTGCCCGAGCACTCAGCACGACGGCGTCGACGACGCCGAGCATGGTTTTCGTACCCCAGAGCGCTCGCCTCTGGCACCAGGATCCCCTCTAGCATCGGAGCCCGACGATGACGGCGCAGCACAGCTGGCAGCAGCAGCAGCAGCCCTTTCCCCAGCGACGTCGCAGCAGTCCGAGGGAACCGCCGCGGAGGTGATACCGTCCGACGGCCCGTCCGAGGAGGAGGAGGAGGAGGTGATCGAGGTCGATGTTGAGGCGGTGATCCCGTCCGAGGATCTCGAGTCGGTGGACCCTGGGGCGACCGACGAGCAGATTGCCGAGCAGTTTCAGAACGAAGAGTATCGGCTCGCCATCCATCACCGCGAAGAACTCGCAAAGATCCAGACCGAGCAGGGCGGGGACTCCGAGTGTGCGCCTGCTGAGAGCGTCGAGCCTGCAGTTTCGCGCCTGCCAAACCCGTTTCCAGCGTTTCGTCGTGAGGTGTCCGATGATGACTCCGACAGCATTGTAAGCGCATCGACGCTTGGTCTCGCTTGAACTTTTTAAAAAGAATAACGGGCTGAGTGATCATTCTTGCCTCGAGGCAAGAGTGAGAGGGAGAGGGCAGGGGAATGATTCCACCCTTCCCCCATCTCCTCCTCCTCCTCCTCCTCCTCCCTCCTCCTCCTCCTCCCTCCCCCTCCTCCCTCCACCTCCTCCCTCCCCCAGGGGTTTCACAGGAGATGGGGGAAGAGAGGAATCATTCCAGAGCATGGTTCAACATAAAACGTCTTACACACGGTTCTTTCAACACTTCAGCTTCCCCAGGACGTCTCGAGCGAAACGCTAGTGTTTGGTGCCTGGCTAGATTTTGCGAGCAACTTCAACATCTCCATTTCACGAGGATGTCTCAAGCGAAAGCATCGTTGTCAACAGAACGCTCTTAACAACCAGCCCATTCAGCATATATTTCATTGTTCTGAGGATGTCTCGAACGATACGGCCGAACAAAAAATAAGGTCCTTTGGGGGTGGGCTCCAAGGTTCACACGTGGCCCCCCAGGATAAGTATGCACATGCACCGCGATGTCAGACCCGAACCTCCGTAGCCATTTTGGCTTCACCCGAGCATCAGTTGATTACTTAAGTTCCACACCGATTCTTCATAACGAATGGGGAAACGAAATCGCGTTTTATGTTATCGACACCAGACGGGCACTCCTGGAGAGCTGGCCAAACATTTGGTGTTCTCTTTGCACATAATCTTTCGAGAAGGTTTGTACCCCTCGTCTGATTTCAAGAAGGGCGTGCACGTTCCGTTTCTCGTCTGGGCGGCGCCGACGCTGCGGGGACTCATCGAACTTGACTCGAGGGGGGGGGTACTTCACCCAAACCGACATGGACGAGGCCGTGCGACAAGCCATAACCGATGAGACCCGCAAAGATCTTCACAAATTATCCCGCAAACTCGTAAAGACACCAGAGAACACAGAGAGGCTCATCGCATACTCATACAGAGCGATGCTGGCACACGTTAGGCTGCAGATGGACGCGCACATGACTGGTGCATTGAAATATGGGAAAGAATTCGGCACCACGTATTCTGCTAGTCACCCCCCGAGCTCGTGGACATGTATAACCTCATGGAAGACACATACGAGCCCATCTACGTGGGAACCACTGTGAAAAAGAAAGCCAAGTTGCCGAACCCCTTCCCAGCGTTTCGAGACGACCCAGCCGATGAAGATTCTGACAGCGATTCAGTTATGAGTGTGTCCTCAGGCGATGAAGCTATTGTGGTCAACTACGAGACAGTCGATGGCAAGATTTG